TTTATTTTATATTTACTTTAATAATTCTGTATACATCAATTTTTTATAAAATTATAAAAAAAATAAATCATTTTAAATGATATAAAATTTGCTGATGACGATCATCAAATAAAAAATTTGTAAAAACATGTTAAATCTTGTTTATAAATTGATAAACATAATGATTTATTAGACAAAAATGATATAATAAATCTTTAGAATTATCACAAGTTAATTTGATATCTATACATTAAAAGTACAAGAAAAATTTTTTGAATATTGTTATTTTTTATTTTTTTATTTTATGTAAAATTTATACGTTATTTTAAATTCCTTAATAATTCTGTATACATTAATTTTCTAAAAAATTATAAAAAAATAAATCATTATAAAACATACGAAATTATAATACGGAATTATTAATTACGTATACAAACCCTATAAAAAATGTATTATTTTCTTATTTTGGTTTTTTATAGGAATATACAAACAATTTTCTTATTTTATCTTTTTTATATTTTTTTTTATATCATGAACAATAAATGTAATTTTTAATAAAAATAATTTCTGATACAATTAAATTTTTTATTAATTTTAAGTATAATAGTAATCATATAATGAATATAACAAATAGTTTATTATAACTTTACTGAATTTTCTCATTATAACGAATCATATCCTCTAAATATTAAAATTAGTTATAAAAACTTCAACTATATTAAAATATTAGTAGAAATTCTTGTATATAATTTGCAAATTGAATCAAATATTTGAAGATTAATTTGATATTCGATCAAATAAAATTTCTTTAATTTGAATTTGATCAAATCAAATTAAATATTAATTCATATTTAATCAAATAAATTTTTTTTGATTTGAATTTGATCGAATCAAATCAATTATTAATTTAAATTTGTATTTGATTTGATTTTCAAATCAAATATTCGAATATCAAATCAAATTGCTGAACCCTAATTAATATATTACAAAATATTCTAAAAGTAAATTTTTACCTTAAACAAATAGAAAGCAGATATTAATTATAATTATTCTTTAAAAAGTCAAGATAAAAAATTATTAAATTTCAAGTTTCCTAATTTCTTTATAATATAACTACTTTAAAGATTAATTATTATTTATAAACTTCTTTAAAAATGCTTATTTTGCTTATTTATTATTAGTAAACATTTGCAAGATGTTAAATTAGCTAAAGATATAATTTATATAATAAAGTTAATTTTTTTTGATTTATATAGATATTTTATAATAGAAAGGTATAAAATTCTAAAAAAATTAAAATTAACTTTATAAGCATAATATTATTTTTTTTAGTAAAATAAGTTAAGATTTAACATTAATTCAACTAAAAATTTTTTTAGGATTTTATATTTTTTTACTATAAAACTCCTATATATTCATTTTGATGATCTTTTTAAAAATATAAAAAAGAAGAAATTAGTGAAATAAAATTACAAATAAATTGTTAAATGATAAAATTATTAAATTATTTATCATAAAGCATTAAATTTTAATGTATTCTTAGGTTTATAAAAATGAGTTTTTTTAAGGTTTATTTATTAGATATATCAAAAGATAGTAAATATTTTAATCTACTTGCTTTTTAAATAATTGATATTTTAGATACTTTAGAATGAATTATTTTTAAAAAAAAATAACAAATAAAATAATTAAAGAGAAATTTATGAAAATCAGTTTAACTCAAATATTTTATTTATTTCTGATTTATTTGAAATTGCTAGTTTAAATTATAACATTAGAAAATTTATTTCTTTTCGATTTTAAAAATAAAAATCTTTATATTTTATTTATTAATTAATAGAAATACTAATCATAAAGATGACAAAGCAATTGATTTAAAAAATTTGCAACTAGTATAATATAGGTTATAACCTAAAAAATTGCAATTAATTGTGGACTTTTATATATAATTTTTATATTTAAGATTTTACAACTAATTACAATATAAGTTGCAAACTAAAAGGTTGCAATCTAGTAGTTACAAATAGATTTATCTTTAGCTAATAGTAATTTTTTTAAAAAAAAATTTATAATATTTGATTTATTATATTATTTAAAATTTTATTTATTAGTTATAGCTTACGAAAAGATATATAAAGATAAATAGTTAACTGATCATATTATTTGTTTTATATTTAAAAACATATATATTAAATGTGAAATTAATATTAAATCTGTAATTATTTAGGAAGAAAAATAAGTATAATTGAGTTATTTGATCTTGAGATTTCTAAAAATACTGATATGATACTATTCTGTTAATGATTATTATGCATATACAATTATTACAAAAAGAAGTACTTTCTAGTATAATAAATTGACTTTATTATCATTTTAAGTAAGTTTTTATTAAATTTAATATAAAAATAAATTACCTTTTTAAATAATTTATATTTTTAATTATTAGATAAATAATTATTCAAATGTATTAATTCAGAATTTATGCCAATATAATTTTATAAAATATATTTAAAATATTTTTATATTTATTTAAAAAAAAATATAGGAAATTAATGATTAAATTCATTATTACTAAAGAATTTAATGCAAAATGTCTTTTACAAGAATTTAATTATATATAATCTAATGATATAAAGAATAAAAAAAAAAGTATAAGTGGAAAGTAATTATAATCAAAAATACTATAAAAATAAAAATTGTTCTTTTAATAAATAAATAAATAGTTATTATATTACATCTGTTATTTATAATATAATGTAATAAATGTTTAGTAATAAGTTATATTGACAAAATCATTGAATAGTAAATGTCTGATAAAACTATTTTAACTTATTCTGTTATTTTTAGAAATTTAACTTATGTAAATCAATTAGGGGGATGACTTTAAAATGGATATTTTCTTTATTTTTTTTTTAGAAAGTGACTTATAGTATAAATTTTTAATTATTTTTAATTAAATTTATCTTTTCTTGAATAAAATATATATTACAAAATGTTTAGGTAAATTATTATTTATTACAAAAAAATTAATGTTTATAAATAATTATATATTATATTATTTAGAAATAATAGATATTTTTTAATATACAAATTATATAAAATTAATATAAAGTATATATCAAAAATATAAATTTAATATATTATAAAAATTTTGCAATCATAAATTTTTTACTTTAAACATAAGCATAAAAAATATAATTTGTAATAATTATAAAAATACGATTATTTTTTTTTTCGTAAAATTGATTATCAATTGTGTAACTGCGCTTTTGATTGGTTATTTTATTGACATTATGATATTTACTTTTAACGTAAACAACCTCGTGATAAACTTACTAAACATCGTTAAATTTGTAAAATTTTCAATCATTTTTTTTCCTTCTTTTTTTTCCTTTTTAATAAGAGTGAATATGGACCAAACTCCTATTGAAAATTTATCAAGTTCAGGTAAAGATATTTATAAAATATTAGAAAATACGCGTTTGTGGTTATAAATATATAATTCATTACTATAAAACTTCAGAACCTGAAAATGATGAATTGCAAACAAATTTGAAGTCTCATGGATTCTATGATGAAAATCTTGTAAGTATAAGAAATTAAAGTTTTGTTTCTTATAGAATTTCATTATTAATAGTAATTGTTATATTTAAAGAATGAATATAACGTGCAATTTATTACAAACGAAATGTTAAACAAAGATGATGTTAGTAACCAAGATAAGGAAGGAAAATGTGATGACAACGATAATTCTAAAATGACAATCCTTGATGATTCGGATGAAGAGGATGGGGAAAATAACATGCAACATATTAATAACGAAACGTTTAACAAGGATGTTAGTAGCCAAGATAACGATAACTCTAAAATGACAATCCTTAAAGGTAAGGATGAGGATGATGAGGATAAAGACGTGCAATCTATTAATAACGAAATGCTTAATGAAGATGTTAGTACAAGTATTGAATCTAGCAGTAAAATGAGTAAAATGACAATCTCCAACAAAGTTGATAGTAATAACGATGAGAGCGACGACAACGATAATACAAGCAATAAAACTAGCAATAAAATGGCATCCTCCAACAAAAACGATTATAGCCAGGAAAAGGATGACAAGAGTGATGATTATGACACAAGCGATAAATCTGTAAATAAAGCGTCAATTCCCAACAAATATTATAGCAGCCAAGATGAGGACGTCGACATGAGTGAAGACGATGACACGAGCGATAACATCTCCAACAAAGATGATGATAGCCAGGATGATGACGACGACAAGAGTGAAGCCGATGACACAAGCGATAAAACAACGACGATCCCCGACAAAGATGATAGTAGCCAGGATGAGGATGACGATAAGATTGAAGACGATGACATAAACAACAAATATATCAATAAAATGTCAATCCCCAACAAAGATGATCGTAGCCAAGATGAGGACGACGACATGAGTGAAGACGATGATACGGGCGATAAAACAACGACAATTTCCAACAAAGATGATAGTAGCCAGGATGAGGACGAAAAAAGTGAAGATGATGACGCAAGTATTGAATCTAGCAGTAAAATGACAATTTCTAAGGAGAATAGTGACGAAACTGTAACATTAAAGACTGAAAAAGTTGATACAGGTGATAATTCTAACGGTAGGGCTTCAATTTCTAGCGAAAATAATTTGATCGATAGTAAATCACGTTCACGTGTTGATGGCGATAATTCAAGTAGCCAAGATGAAGATAGTGAATCTGTTATAACTCTATTTGAAGAAAATAATTTAAATGAGATTGAACCTGGAGAAGACTCAACTTTTGACAGCGATGATGAAGAGAGTAGTATCGAAAAAATTAACTTTCAGAATTACTCTAATGATCCTTGCAATGAATCTACAACTTCCAGCAGCGATGATGATTTGATGCGTAGTAATGTTAGCACGAAAAATGTAACGTCTCCTATTAGCAGCAATGATGATGATACAGTTATTATTGATACAGGCGATGCTATTTCTAGCGATGAAAATACGAAGGAAAGTAGTTCTGATGATGACAGCTTTTTTGAAACAATAAATCCTAATAACGATTTATTAGGTTCTATTAATGCAGTAAGCTCTGATAACGATGATGCAAATGAGAGCAGTTCTGATAGCGACGATTTGAGTGAGAGCAGTTCTGATAGCGATGATATAATTGAGAGCAGTTCTGATAGCGATGATATAATTGAGAGCAGTTCTGATACAAGTGAAAACAGTTCTCTTAGCGATGATACAAGTATAAGCAGTTCTGTTAGCGACGATTTGAGGGAGAGCAGCACTGATACAAGTGAGAGCAGTTCTGATAGCGATGATATTAGTACTGATGAAGAATCAACAATATCTAGCGCTAAATGTATGGATTTAGATGATACAGGTCATATCTCGAGTTCTAGTAGTAATGGTAATAGAGATAGCTTAAACAGCAGCAATTCCACAAGTTCTGACAGTGATGATGATGTCAATACTGCTAAAGACTCTAGAAAAACACGACGTTTTACGATAAGCATAGACTTTAAAATTGAATGGTTTTAAATAATCTGGTATGGTGTGTTGAATAATGAAAATCTAACAGCGCTAGATATTAAAAATTTATAGATGGTTCCAAAGTGCATGTAAGATATATTAATTACGAAAAATAAAAGCTATGGTACGTATCATAATTGACTTATAAAAATAACTTATCTCCAATTAATTCTTAAATTTGTCAGACTTTGTGTTATGTTCCATGTGGAATAGATTTATAATTCATTTATTTAATGATCAGCAATCTAAAATTTTAGATTTTTAATCAATCATAATTTTATGAATTATTAAGCACAAATATTATCTAGGCAAGTTTGAATAAATCTTAGTTATAATTTCAGCTTTCAAGAATCAAACTTCTTGTTAGTTGAATATTTTATTTTAATTTGAAACTTAAATTGAGACTTAATAATTGAGAGGTGTGAGCGAGCTTCCATGAATTTCAACTAAAAGAATGAATATAAAGAATTTGATTTTATCAAAAGAATGCTAAACAAGGAGATCAAGATGCAAAACTTTACTTTGATAATACACCCATTCATTTATCACAAAAGTTCGTAAATCAGTATCAATAGATTGCGTATCTTCTTTTGCGTGGGACAGTGTTGTCGGCTTTTGTTAATGGACACTGGACAATAATGGACAAAAAATACTGTTCATTGTCCATTGGCTAAGCAATGGAAATAGACAACGTGTCCTAATTATATTATCAATTAAGCAAATAGTAATAAATATTAAATTATATCAAAATGTAATTTATAGATTCGCAATTAGTTTCGAAATTGGAATTAATTTAAGGTTTTGAAATCCCTTCACTAGTTATAACTAGAATCAATTCGTCAATGATTGATGGAAGCCTGTAAAAATCATTATTTGCATATTATTTGTTAGTTATAAAGCTCTGGATAGGCCGAGAGCTTTACTAGCTGGTTTGCGAGTTTTCTCTAAGTTAAAAATACAATATCCACGATCATCAAAATGAATAACTTTTTTTATTTCATTAAAAAGTAGTAAAGGTAGGAGTTTAGTATGTCGCGATAAATTGAATTTAATAAATATTGGTTTTATAATAAACAGTATTATATCTAAAATTAACAATTTTAAGGAAATTCAAAGGGAAATTTATTCTAATTTATGCAAGAAGATATCGACATTTTTTGAAAATTATACATTTTATTATTAAATGAAGATAATGGTTAGACTGATTTTATAAACTTATATTGATGGATATTAATGATTTAGAAAATTTTCAGTTATATTCACGTATTTTTTTGTGCATATTGGAAAATATTAATTAGTGTTCGTGTTAATTAGCATTAATCGCAAGATATCACATATAATATTTTTAATGACTTTATAAAGGGTATTATCCTTGATAATGAATTATATTAATACCTTCGCTCTCATACCTTCTATTATTTTAAATATTTAAATTATAGAATAATTTTAAATTATTATACCTAAATTATCATAAACGAATCTTCGCAATGATGATGAAAATAAATTAATAAACTGGAAATCCTCTAATAATAAATGAGACTTGCACTTTTAAAAATTTTGATGAATGAAAATTTATTGAAGACCTCAACAAATTTTGAGTTTGTATTCATTGTGACTAATCTTTTTAATAAGATAAAGAGCAAGAAATAAAGATTAAGCGTGTACGGTTAAAAGTTAAGATCAAGAAGTAGAGAAAAGATAAACATTGGTATTCAAGAAACTCTCAAAATTACATTTTCTTTAAAGCTTTAGAAATGTATAAGATTTTGATTTTTATGAGCAAGCGTGATTTGAATCTAATGAAATATTCGTGACTGATGTAAGCTTTTATTATTTATTTTTATTAATATTTTTAATTGTTTTTAGTTCTTTTTTATTTCTTATGATAAATTTTATCTTACTGAATATAATAAAAAAAAAATCTATTTTTAAAAGCTTAGCATATTAAATGAGAAACAAGTTGCAAGATCGAAATTAATAAAAGTGCGCAAAAAATAAACGGTGAGGTTTGATACGGAGATGGCAAATGTCCTAAAAATGACCTCAAAATGACTAAATGATAAATGAAGTCAAATGACAAATGACCTAGTCATTTAGAGGTCATTTCAAAATAGTCAAATGACCTGGTCATTTGCCATCACTGGTATGATATACTATATAATACATCATGTATATTTTATAGTGAGCGAGCCCAACCAAAAAATGATGAGGCTAAATGATGGTGATAGTGTAAGAGTGTTATGTATTATAAGACCAAAAATTTCTATCTTACATCATATGAGAAAAGTTTAAAAAGCTACTTTTCATAAGAAGTTTTTATGTAAAAAAAAAATAAATTTATCAAGTCTAAAAAAAAAAAAAGAGTGATATTTTACATTTACAGTGTACCATGGCGAGTCTTTGACCTAGAATATTACATGTATCGAGAATTTTTTTTAAATTTTTAGCCTTCTTAAACCAAATCCTGTAACTTGTAACCAAACTTCCCTTATTTCCTGAAGAACCTAAGCTACAACTGTAATTTTAATGATTGAGATCTCGGAAAGAAATTTATTTTTATTTACTAAATTTAATTAAATGGCGGTAACATGAAGCTTGACAATTATTATTTTTTATTATTATTATGACTGTTGCGTCCAATTCTTACGAGTTTATATTAGTAAATGTAGCAAAAGGATTTAATTAGATAAAAAGTTATTTAAAAAAGCCAAGTTCTTACGATTCGATCAAAAGACCATAGTTCAATTTGTTCAGATGACAAATTGACTAGAGGACACTTTGACCAGTGGCCGAGGACCGTAGTCAACTTGCCAGTGGTCAATTTGGCCTATAATCTAAACAATGGATTATTATTAATTAAAAAAAAAATTAACAATGTGCTCCTTTATTTAATTAACATCGTAACAATTATCTTTCTGAAAATTCTTAAAGCATAAATATTGTAACTACATTAACAAACATATTAAATTATTATTAATTATACTCTTTGTAAATCTTTAAAATGATTAATTAATTAATTTAGTAACTTAACGTTGCCAAAGTTTTTTGACAACAGTCCAGTCATCAACAAAACTTAGATAATTCAAATAATTCAATAAAATTACTAGTATTCTTTATTATTCATAGTTTATATCAAATAATATATATATATTTGCTTAAAGATAACTTTAAAAGCATCCATCGAAAATTTTCGTTTTTTTTTTAATGTATAATTGTTTCTGCAGGACACCATATGGATATGGGCAAGCCTTTTGCTTGGGTTTAAAAAAAAGAAATATATATATATATTTTTGATACCAACTTGACTGACCAGTATGACTAAAACCAAAAACATCTAAAGTAAAGTGAAATTAAGCAATGATGACCTTAAAATAAGCATTGAATCCATGCAACTATCCCATCCAATAAAGACAAAGATTAAAACTTTGGGGATGACCTCTTCTGTAATCCATAATTATGTGAAGAACAAATCCATAGTTTTTTATTGTAATGAGTGTTAGAAATCATTAACTTGACTGTATCAATTTCTTTTTCGCTATTATTGTTAGGACTAAACATTAAATATTATTTAACCTAACTACAAATCTTATATAAATCTAATAAATTTATCCTATTCTCGTTATCTACTCTATTTTGATTCTGCTTTCGAACATAACTGGAATTTGTGTTTGATAATATTCGTTGATAATTACGTATCAAAAAATTGATTTTCTTGATAAATTCAACTAATTTATCAATCATTAATCTTTATATTCGTAGGTAAAGAAACAAAATCCAAACTTCTAGGGTCTTAATAACTTATGCCTCTTAATACAAATTTAACTATAACCTATTACTATTATCATCTTTTCTTATTGAAATAAGTTTATTCCAAAAATGTTTATGGTAACGTCGAAACAAATGAAAAGGCAATTCTCAAAATGCATTCCCGCTTTTTAGAATATTTTGTGGCACAACCATTATATTCCTACGATGAACGATTGAACGATTTGTCTTTGATATCATTTAGCGAGTGCACATTAGATAATGAAAATTGTTCGAGATTAATGGTGGTGATCATAATTTATAGAAAGGAAGGTTACGATAGTGATAAATTATTATTAAGCTCTACAATGCCAATTGCAAAAGTTTAATGAGCAATCTTTGTGAAAAGACATTGTAAAATTTTATAAGATAGGTAAAGATTAAAGACAAAATCAAGACAATATTTTAGTCGTATCAGAAGTTAATCTTAAACATTGAACCCAAATCATCTGTGTAAGTTAATTATCTTTGTTATTATTAATAATTTTTATTTGACATCAAAAGCAGGTAATCGAAAAGATATTAAATAAATATTATTTTTTTAATTTAAATAATTTTACTAATTATACAATAGTTACAAATCATTATTGTTGATCATTTCCGGCAACATTACCACTGCTTTCACCATCTCTAGTTAAACCACTTTGATCACCATTTTCTAATTCAGGTATAAATCTATACAGAGGAAATTCCAAAAATAACGTACTTTTAATCATTTGTGGTAATGGTTCATAAAGATTTGGTGGAAATGGTATTAATGCAGAAGTACGCTCAAGATATTTGGAGTAATCAGTCCAGTTTCCTTGCTTCCATTGTTTTTCATGTGCAGGACGTTCGTTTAATGGCATCCCACTTAAAAACATGAGCAAAACTTTTGGAAAGAAAAGAGGATTAGATTTAAAGAAAATAAAATGGGGATCGAAAATAAATTTAAATAAAGTTTACACTTACAGATTGTGAATGCGGGAGAGCTTATTGAAGCATATGCAGCATTTGTACCTACTCCAGCAATAGTAGGTTGTAGACATAATAAAAATATTCCAGTCCTAAAAATCAAAATTTAAATTCTAATTGGTAAAAAAATACTATGATAATACATTAATGATTTGATTTACTTACCATATCTATAAGGTATTTTTTTTAATTAAAAATATGAAGAGATTATTAATTTAATGGCATAATGTCAGTAAAGAAATAAATGTTTCATAATAAAATATATCAATAACTTACACAGATTTCACCGAAATAATTTGGATGCCTACTCCATGACCAAAGCCCTGTCTTCATAAATTGTTTTGGGGATGTACGATTTTGTCTGAACAAGAACTGTTGCATATAGGAAAAAGAAGTAGAATATTAGTACAAGTAGAATTATTAAAGTAAAACAACTACTAACCTTTTGAAGATCAGCAATAGATTCAAATAATATACCGATGGTAAATACTATCACACCAATAACATCGGTTGCGCTACCAAATTTAACATCCTTACCACCATATTCATCATTACTTATTCTTGGAGAATTTAAAAATATGACAGGTAAACTAATTATCCAAACCCATATCATTTGTAACACAAAGAAGAAAAGCAATGATGCAAATTTAGATCGAATATTTTCAAATCTTGAATCCTTTCCTGATTTCAACATTCGATATAAACAAAATACTAACAAGAAAAATGAAGAAAAATAAAAGTTAAAATGACGATTGAAGAGAATGTGTTAAAATTACAGTAAATTATCACGCTTACATCCTAATCTCACACCCCATAAAACAGCGAATGTCGTAGCGATTATTTGTCGGACATACCATGTCTGTATAATATCAAGAGAACATTATTGATAAAGGGAATAGTTATAAGATACCAATGATCGTTATATTTACCTGACCAAGAACAAATGATAATATCGCCAATAAAGCAACGTTACTACCGCCTATTGAAGAACGTAGGAATTGTTAACTCGGAAAGTATACAACACAACTCAGAAACAAATTAATTACCTCCAAAATCGGTCACTATTAATAATAATAAATATATATTAGCATATTTTAATCTTTATTTAATAACTCACACTGCTTTGTTGATTACTTACCTGAATCAATTTGAAATGTATAAGCGATAGTAAAAAAGATTAGTTGATATCCAACTGTTATTATTGCTGTTATTGCTAAATAATAATCATCTAATACTCTAACTACCATGATTATTAATAAATAAGTAATGAATTTGTTTAATTAAAAATCAAAAAATAAATAAGCAAATATAATCAAATTTTTTTTTCTTAAGTCTTAAAATGTTTCAAATATAAAAAAAGATTATTATTTTCTTTTTAAGGAGAATTTTACTTTTTTAAAAATTACCAAAATAACAAAAATACGGAATTTTATATTTTCTGCATAATATTTGCAGTTGTGTAACAAATTGTGTAAATATTTTATATTTATGTCGTACAAATGCTGCTTTAAACGGTAAAATCTTCAATTGTTCGTTTATCAATGATAGTTGTTTTAATAAATAAAATTGTTATTATCAAATGTATTGTTACCTTAACGTGGTTAGTGATCGACCTACATTTTCTTTGATGGCTACTGGACAAATTGACGATGGGACAAATTATCCTCCCCGTCTAAAATGACCACTTGTCCTCTGTACTTGCGCTTTTGATATGATAAAAATTCAATAATAATACTCAATAAAAAACTTTGATCATTACCTTACTTTATTTGTACTCTATAAACCATTTGCAACCTATTGATCTATTAAAGTAATTCTTTTAAGTCTTTGACAGAGCAAGTAATGACGCTTGTCAAAACTATTTTCATAGTCCTAAATTAGTTTAACCAATTTCGGGTTTTTGATTTTTACCACGTTTAAAATTTCGACATAGGTTTCGTCATATAACGATTTTTCAAAAATTAGTTTTACCCAAGTTTCGGAATTTCGGGCATCACCACTACATTTTCAAGTTTCACAAACAATTTTATTTACATTCTCGTTTCACACTTCTTTGCAGATTCTAGGTCACCGCTTTCATATTTACTAATCAAATATGAGATACTGCAAATTAGTGTTGCAGGAGTAAAACATTAGGAAACTCTTAACTGTGGTTGTACAATAATACGAATACGAAGGGGTTGCCTGTCAATGTGATGTGATCTATAACGTCTAGATCAAAAATTTAATTAACTCTCTTAATTTCAATTTCAGTAAATTTACAACAAATCGACGAGTAATTTCAGAATATAAGTGAAGGATCTCTTATTTATTTTTTTTTCAATTAATTCCCTGATACTTGAGATATTCTTCTCCTTCCATATTTCAAGGTCGATATCAACAGTAAATCTTTCTGTAAGATCATTAAAATAATTTACCATGATGTCGATCGATACTGCAAACACGAAAAACATGGTTTAATAAATTAACTTATCACGAACTATAAAATAAAACTCTTTTTGATTGCATTTTTAGTCCAAAGGAATTTTCTTCAGCATTACATCGTACTGAACTGTTTGGCCGAGAAATTAATAATTTAACAAATCAAATAATTAGTTTCTGGTCACATGTTTGTTTAGTTACGTAATCTGCATTAAATTTCGTTATATGCATCAAATTTTACGCGTTTTTGAGACGAAGCAACGCGACTTATGTAACTTGTGTAACGTGATGAATATTGTCTTATAAAGGAAATCTTTTTTTTTCACTTCTTATTTTATTTTCGAAATTACCCTTTTTTGTCCTTTAATCCTATCTTTTTCCCTCTTGCTTCATCTTTCCCCTTCCGCGAACCAAGTTTTTCGCAAACACATTCTATTTTTGTTCCCTCTTCACATAAAAGGTAAAGCCTTTTTTCCCATTTTATTTTTTTTTTCACAGAAAAAATGATGATCAAGATCTACTGGTAACGTAGGAGGTTCAAGTTATGGCTTCCTTTTTCAAATAAAGGACTTCAACAGAAAGAAACTTGTTAACAAAACCTCAAGAAGGATACAAACAATCTTCCAAAAGGACGAAACTAGTGTAATATAGGAAAATTTGACATGAAAAACAAGAGGTAGGGTTGATTTTTAGGCGTGGTCATTCGGTTACGTTGCATCTGGGCTTCTTGGTTATGAAGTAGTAGTACGGTCATTGGTGAAGTTGCAAATGGGGCTTCTTGGCCATAAAGTAGTTTAAACCAGACTGTGTTATGCGTGGTTCAAGAATGTACTCTACCCTAATGTTCTTTTTAAGGGTAGGGCATCGCACACGAGATTTCCTACTGGATGTCTAGCATAAAATTTATGTAATTTGAATTCAGTGATCGGTCTCCTACTAAATGCCTAGCATAAAATTTATGCAATTTTAATTAGGGTGGTCGAGTTCTCTCTCTCTTTCTTTACTTAGTAGAAATACTAAAATGTTTCTTATTACTTTTGTTATAGGACATATTATTTTAGGAACAAAAGAAGCGACCGGTTATAACTGAAATGTGGTTGGTGGTGACTAGTTAAAAACTAAAAGTGAAAACATTCAACCAAACCGAGTGGGTAAACAGCTCTAGCAATGAGATTCACAATCATTTTCTTTATCGATGTATGATGATTAATAATGATGGTACTCCAGTTTTAGAAACTCATCACACCAGAAGAACCAGCCCATGACATGATCAGAAGAGATTCTTTAATTTTATATTTTTTATTTTAGTTCTTATAAATGTTACTATTTAATTACAATAGCAAATCAAATGTCTTTCTCTCTCTCTGTTAATTACTACATATAGCTAAATAATTTTCCTTGTTAAAAAAAAAAACCTTTAAAACCTTTACATATAAAGTACAGTATACTATAATACTTTAAGTAGTAAATGATTATTAGTACGTAATTAAATAATTAAATTAAGCTTTTGTCATAATTCTGACAATCAAGTAAAAACTCTTTATAAATTGAGAATTTGGAATCCCAAAATAAAAAAATTAAATCAAATTAAAAAAATGCATCTGCCGAAAAAACTTATTTATGACACCCTAAATAACGAAAGAATATGAAATTAAATTCAATAAAAAAAAAAGGATAACCGCGAAAATTAGAAAGTAAATAAAAGAAAAAATTAAAATATACTAAATTAAAGTTAAATTTTGATTTAACAAAAAAATATTTAATAGAAAAAATACTGTAATACTTATAAAGAATTTAAGAAATTTTAAAAAGGGATAAAAAAAATAAAATATAAACAGAAGATCTATTATATTATTCTGAAAATTGAAAATAAGCATCTCTTAATTGCATTATAATCCGTTTGGCTAGTATTATATAGTTTATCCTTAGATAGCATTATATATAAAATGGATGCTTATTTCAAAATTAAATAAAACTTCACAAGCATTATATAAGATAATGATTTTTTAAAATTTGATTTAATTATCTTAGAAAATTAAAAAAATATTTTTATTAAAAGCTTATTTTAAGAAATTAAAAAAAAAGTCAAATGATTCTAAAAAATATATATACTAAAAAATATCTATAAAATTTATCTTAAAAAATCTAATGAAATAGATTAATTAAGAAAAAAATTAAATTAGTTGAAAAAAAAAAATTATATTACTAATAATTAAGAAAGATTAATTTAATTAATTAAAAATAATCTATTTAAAATATTCTTGCAAGATAAAATTTTTAAAAAAAGTTAATTAATTAAAAAATTATTAAAAAAAAAATAAATAATAATAAAAATAATGAATTAAACTCTTTTTTAAGAATTTATTCTATTTAAAAAACAATATTTAAGAGTAATATAAGAAAAATTTTATAATATAAATGATCAAAAAAAGAATTAGTAATTTTTTAAAAAAATTTATATTACTTAAAATATTTTTAAAATCAAATTAAATTGATATACAAACAGTATATAAAATCTAAGTTAAAATTTATGTGCACAAATTGATTAATTATTACTAAAATAAGAAAATCATAACATTTCTTATGTAAAATTACCTTTTTTATATATAATTTATCTATTTTTAGTAATAATTTATGCACATTTTATGTTGTGTAATATGTGCACACAAAAAATTAATGTGCACATGTGCACATTGTGCATATAGATTTTACACACTGTATACAAATAAATAAAATAATAATAATCTTATTAAAAATTTTTGTTTAAAATTAAATTAAAAATGGATTAATTATAAAATTATATAAATAATCTGATAAAAACTAATAAAATATTAATATTTATCATATCTAAAAATAAAGCTTCACATAAGAGCTAACTTACAAGTATTATAAGTTAGTTCATTAAAGTTTAACTTAAGCTGCTATAAAATAGTTCATGAGCTAATTAAGCTAGCTTATATTATAGCTTATTTATGACACAACATAATTAATTAGCTTAGATTTTTTATTTTATAAATAATAAATTCAGGAGTATTAATTTTGAAAAAAATTCTTCTGAAATGTTTTTTTGAAATAAAATACTTTTGAAATATTTCATTTGAAATAAACACTTTCAAAACATTTCTTTATATACAAATGCTTTCAAAATATTAATTATAAATAATAATGTCTTAATAATGTTTCTAAAAAATTACATTTTGAAATAATACTTTCAATGCTAAAAATAGTTCTTATAATTGTTGATAATTGTTTTTAAATTTCATTTGAGTTGTAACCTAATTGTAACATTAATAAATTTAATTGTAATATGAGTTGCAATATAATTTTAATACTTTTTGGTAATTGTATCGCTATTTTTATTCAGTATATTATATTTAAATAAAAATGCTTCTGAAATATTACATATTAAAAATAATATTTATAGAATGTTTTATTATATAAAAATATTTTTAAAAATATTAAATTTAAATTATAATACTTCTGAGCTAAGGATGCTTGCTTAAACTTCTTTAAAATTCTATGATTAGTTTTAGCAAAATTTTAATAAAGTTTAATATAGTTTTATAGTTTTATCATAGTTTCTCCAATTTTATTATTTATTATAATAGTTTTAGCATTTTGCCATAATTTTACATAAGTTTTTATAAGATTTTAATATAGTTTCAGCAAATTTTCAGCATTTTGGCAGTTTAGCAAGTGAAAAATCCTTTAATTTCTTTAGCAATCTTATCTAAAGCATTACATTTTAGAAAATAATACTTCTAAAAGATTATATTTAAATGAAAACACTTTTAAAGCAATTTTATAACGAATAATTTCTGTAATTATTTTTTGAAAGTAATCAGATAATTATTTTTGAAATAATTACTTTTGTGACTTTTTTTTGAAGTGAATCTTTTTTGAAAACATTTCTTTTAAATAAATTACTTCAATAGCTTTTTCTTTAAAAGAGTCACTTCTGTATTACTTTTTAAAGAGAAATATAACTATGTAACTTTCTCTTTAAAAAAAATTTCTTTTATTTTTTTTTAAGGAAATTTTCTAATATTAAGGCTAAGGTTGCTAGATGAAATCAAGAGTTTAGACAGACATTTAAAATATAAAAGTATAACTTGGTTTAAATTATATTAAAACTTATTAAAAAATATGTGAAATTCAAAAAAGATAAAACTATATCAAAGCTTATAAAAATGGCAAAACTATATCAAATACTTAGTAAAAATTTAGCGAAATTAAAGGTTTAAATATTTAGCCAAATCCAAAATGAGTGCTGTGATTACACAACCAATAAGTTTATACTTAATGAAAAAGGTATTTTCTTTAATTTTATTTAAAATAATATAAATAACAACATAAATAGATATGTATATTAATAGATAATTATTGCAATGTTTTTTTTTGCAATAAGAACCATTAACAATCTAATTTTAGTAGAAATAATTATTGCAGATTATGATATCAATTTGCATATTTTCTAATTATAAATCATTTATTAATTTAATATTAAAATGAAATGCAAGTAAAATACTATATTATAAAGAATATATATGAAGACTAGAATACTATGATGATGAAAAAATTAGAGTTGTATTTGATGGATAATATAACAAAAATTTAGTAAATAAAGGACATTTTCAAGAAAAACAAGATGTAATATTATTAGTATTAATTGATGGATTTCAAATTTTCAAAAAAAAATTGATGATTATTAGATTTTATTATTTATAAATACCAATTTACTTTCAAAATAACAAGTAAAAATCTTCTTATTTTAACAATTATACCTGAACAAAATGAACTTATAATCTAAATTCTTTTTTATATCTAATTATTATTAAATTAATAAATTAGAAAAAAGTTTAGAATGTTTTAATATTCTGGATAATAATAACTTTTTTTTAAATACTAATGTGTTATCTTAGACTAGAGGTATATTAACACTTACAAATTAATGGGTCTTACAGGTTATAATTCATATTTAGAATGCCACTATTGTAATTTAAAAGGAATATATTTTTTATGTATATTATCCTACAAGTCTACCAAAAGTAAAGAGGTGAAGTTTATAATCTAGTCCATTTATACTTAAAACTCAATATAAATTTAAAAAGCAGATTCAAATAATTCAAAATATAATAACAAAAAGCAGAATATAATGAATTTGTAATATTTGTAATTATAATATTATTAAAAAAAGTATATTATTTATTCTTAATTCTACTAGTTTTCAGAAACTTTTCCAATAGATATTATATACTTATTTTAAGAAAATATTGCTGATTATATGCTTTTATATTACATGGTTTTATTTTTTATAAATCAAGATTAAAATAATAATTATATTTTGAATAAAGAAATATGGGATAAAATTGGAAAAAATATGCATGTAGTTTGAAAAAGTATTCTATCAAGTCTTGATTAATTATTATATAATATAATTTTGTATATAATCATTATAAAGCTGAAGAATGGTTTCCTTGGATTATAATGTATTTATTATAATTTCTCAAAAATCAGTTGCCAAAGAAATATTATAAAGGTTTGGGATTATTTGTGAAGGCAGTATTATCAAAAACAAATAATATCAAATAATAATTTGAATAAAATTATACCTATTAGCTTTTTACAAATATTATGAAAAGGAATATTATTGTAAATTGCTAGAGTGTTTGAGCGCAATAAAGATGTGTATACATTATATTTAACATACATATATCTGAAAGTATTTTTCAAACAAAACCTTGTTGTTTGACATGGCAATATCTGATAGAAAGAGTATACAGAATGTTATTTTTACTAACTAAATCAAGATTATATCCATATCTATATAATAATCTTACTAATAATATTCATTTACTTGAAACTTATTATTATTTAAGATTCAATCAAATAGTATAAAATCAAATATTTTCACAGTTCTAACTAAAAAAAACATGATGAACATCTGGCTTTTATCGGAGATAATAATCAAGATTTTATTTTCCTTCAACTTAGCATGAATTGACACAACATTTCTCTATTATAACAGATGTATCAGGTCAGCAGCTTATGTCTTTCAGCCAAACTGGAGTAAAGTATGGTCGGCTTAGAACTAAAGATGGTCATTATATTAGATCAAAATGCATTCATCGAAATGAAGACTGGGCAAGAATCAATTATACAGTTATGATAAAATAGAAATAGATATTTATGCAAGCTATCCAAAGCGACCATCAGTATTTGGAATTAGAGATTTTTATGCTACTGTTGAATATTATTTGGTATATAATGTCGAAGGGCTTAAAACAATGTTAGCTTACATTCAATGGACAGAACCTGTTAATGATGTTGGTGTAAATACATTTAGACGAATGGGTGCATATGAATATATAAGATGCATTGGCTATTGAACGTTGTGTCGGTTTTATTGAATTGATATTGTAGACAAAGAAGTTGATAGTGATGAATGACGAATCAAATTAATCTAATTTAATACGATTATTAGTTGGTTATTATGATATGAAATAAATAAATCAAAAACAATGTAATTATTTGTCAAAAATCGAAAAATTATTGTTTAAATTACAATATTTTATATTTTGATACAATTAAAATATGTAATTGCACATTATTATTTATTTATATAATTTCTAGATTTATATTTTGTTTAAAATTCGTACATTACAGAGCTCATTTCGGATATAATATGTATAAGGACTTATAAAAACAAGGTAAATTCTGAATAAATTTTTTCATAGGGTTAATTTTATATTAAAATAGTCCTAACAATTCTTGAGACGACATCGACTTTAGCGCTGAAATGTTCTTTGCAAGCTGTTCATGTCGTGTTAATGTTTCTTATATAAAAATTGACATTTATAAATAAATTTACATATTTTTAATTATTACATACATATTCTTAATATAAAAAAAAGCATAAAATAAAGCTTGATAATCTTTGAATGATAATATCTAAATTTCATTGAATTTCTCCTCCTAAATTGTTTTAATGATTGTTGAAATTTTTTTTTTTTTCACAAATTCTTTGAAGATTGTAAGAGAAGACAAATACAAAAGAGAATTAAAAAAAATTAAAGTTATGAAGTTTGTTTATTACAATACAATATTCGCGTCAACTTATGGTCCTGATTTGAAGCAGCAAAGACTAAATAATTTGGCAATTGTTATTTTGTTAATATTTATAAATTAATATCGAGTGTATAACACTTTTTATTCGAGAATTGAAAAATTGGAACGTATAATAATTATATTGATTTATTAAAATTTTAATTAGACTTCATGAAATAACAGATTATATTTTAAAACATTCGATGGAAATTATTTGGTCATAAAAATTTTGGTGACTACAATTTTAAATAAATAATAATATAGTTATATTTTTATTAAGTATTATTAAACTACTAAATTGAATTCTTTAGATAAATATCTGTTAAAATACTCACGACATAAACGCTCATATTCATCATATTCAGAAGTAAGAGCTTAATTTAAATTTGATTGTAAATCATGTATTTAAAATTAATAAATAATTCTTCAAATGATCTGCTTCAGATTTTTTGGACATGAACTTGGTCCGGATGGAAATGGAACGAACTGATTCGACCATTTCCTATTATTAAAAAAAATATAATGGAAATGGAACGAATTTATTTGACCATTTCCTTTTTTTAAAATAAAAATATCATGTTCTTAAATGATAATTTATTATGACTGTGACAGATTAAGTTGTAATTGTATTTGTTCAATGTTGAATCTAATCTTCCATAGAGCATCAATAAATTTTGAGACTAATACCCAACTATCATTAATTAGATTTTTACATATGTATTATTTATCGAAAGACCAAATAGTATTCCATGAAAAAAGTGCTGGCCTTTTTGAAGTGCTTAACTCCATGATTTTGAATTTTGAATATAATTAAAGTGAATTGGTGAGATATTTTATATTGAAATACATATTGTACAAAAGTTTAAATTTTTGAGAATTTTAAATTCTAATACTGATTTAGTTTTTATTTTTAGTCAGAAATCGACTGTTTAAATAAGAAAAACAAAAGGTGTGAGTGTTAATGTCTGTTAAACCTGAAATTAAAATTTGGGTATAGCGAAAGGCTGGTAATGGAAATAATGGCTGTGCGTAATAACACGGCGTTTTGCAATTGTGATCGTGTGGCGGAAATTGAGTGTGGTGTAATCTTCAATTTCAATAATCACAACGTCTAAATTAATATTCAGATACTTTAGCATTATATCGCGACGAATCAAATGAAATAATTTCTATATTACATAGAATTCTAAATTGAAATTTATTTAAAGGAACGTTCGGTATCGTTACATTTTTGGTCACATATTGTATTATTTGCAAATCATATACGTCGTTTAGTCATTTGTTATTGCTTTTAAAAACAGCCTACACAAATAAACCGCTTCAAAAGACTTGGAAATAATGATTTCTTTTTCGTTGCTTTGTTAATGAGGCGAAGTAATTAAATAATATTTATTGAAATTGACACGCCACTTATCATGAGTTACTATATAATTCAAAATACTAACTTGATTTTATAAAATAAGGCAAAAACATAGAATTTTTAAATAAATAAACAATTAGAAAACTCTCTTTTTTTTTAAAAGAAAATAAAATATTGCGTATAGAATTAATTACAAAATGTATGAGCGCCGCCATGGTATGGCGTAATGCGCGGATTGGTTAGTATTAGCTAGTTAAATTCTTGAATAACAGGTAAGAGGCGGAGGAACATAGCCATACTTATTGGCGAAGTAAAACAATAAAAACCTTTGACGCAACATAAATACTTAATGTTTAACAACGACGAAGGCGCAAAATAAATATTTGTTGTTTGTCCAGGAGATATATCATTGCTTAGAAAAGACTAATAAATAAACTTTAAATGTTACAAATTTGCCATTACATTATCTACCTATTAATAAACTATTGTCATGGCATTAATACAGAATAAACGTGTGACAAAACGTTAACCTTATTGAATATCATCGAAGTATCTAATTATGACCTTTTATAATTGGAAATGTATACAGGGAGCTTGTCTTTAACGCCTTTTGCGACTTATAAATAAATAAAGAAACTAAAAGAAACCATCAATATAATTTTATCTCCTTTATACTTTGCTCAATCTTACATATATGCTCTCGGAATTTGACTGCGCCCAAAATTTGCATTAAACATTGGAATTGAATTTTCGGATCTTTATGAAAGTTCGGACTCCTCGGAATGATGGAATGTGTCAAAGTGACCATTTTTACATCAAGAATCAATTAATAAGCATTTCCGTCATCCAAGCCACAAGCATACTGATCTTTACAAAGATTTCCGTAACAAAGCCATGTAGTTATAAAAAGGAGGACTTTTCGTCTTGTATTTTCAGTAGGGTTTGAATTAGATAGTTCTAATCTCTTTTGGCCTATTACAGAGCGCCGGTAGATGCAGTAATTCCTTGTAATTCAATAAATAAAAATCCTTTTCCTTTTTCTATAAATTCCTTTCGATTGTTTATTTACATTTCGTTCCTATCTCATTAACATTCTCATTTACATACAATAAAAACTAAACAATTACCTCTCGTGAAATTAGGTGACAATACAACACCATTTGAAACGTAATAATTAATTCTTATAAAAAGATATAATTTTAATACCAAAAGTAAGGAGAGTTCGTTAACTGAATAAAGAAAAAAGATGCATGATTGACGGTTACACTAGCAAATATATTTTTAGTGAACCAAGCATTAATTCATAAAGCTAATAACATTTAATTTCAAATTATTTCATAAAAAAATGTCTCGATATCAACGAAGCAGATACTTTGCTCGTCGACAAGGTCGCATTACTCGTCAAAAACACTATAAATTTAGAACGTGTTAATACCCTTAACAAATAGAAAAATTAAGAACAACATCACGAGTAATTCATCAATTATGAAGATAGCTTGTACGAGAAAATGAAGGTTTGGGTGAGCAAGAAGAGATGCAAGTAATTTGTGTAGAGAGAATAACCTAATACAAGGAGATTTGATGAAGAAACTAGAGATAGACAAGGACATTACGTTAATTTTATGTAAGGGGGTTGGAATAGTGAATAAATAGCATTACCGGAGCGGAGTTTACAAAGTTCATAGTACATTAATTCTATTAATTCTTTGAATGACAGGAAGAGCAAACATAATTATTCGCTTAAAATAATTAACACTTTATATTTTTAAAGACAATAATTTAATCATTTAATCAATCGATGGCATCAACGATCCTTTTAAATGGTAATGAATAAAATTTATTATAAATCTATTATTTTTAAATAAAGTTTCATTATTATTAACTATAATATATATATAAAATAAATAAATAAATAATATTTATATCTATGAAAAAAATTTAATAAATGTAAAAATTTTATTTTTAATATATTTAAAATTAACTTTATTTAGAAAGTAAAATTACTTTTAAATTTGAAAGAAACCCATTGAAGGGATAATGCACACATTTTTAGCATTAAAATTTGGATGTTAAGCTTTTAAGACAAAGAGCATTACGCCTTTTTATTTTATTATGAGATAGGATTTCTAATACTTTTATACTTTGGAAATTTTTATCACTTAGTATGGATTTGGCTCTTAATCAAATACCGCGTAGCGCGGATTGTTAAAAAATTACGAATATAAGAATAAATAAAGGTCATTTCGTAGTTGCCTTTTTTTGATGACAGAAAGAGAGAAAGGTAAGCTAGTCAATAATAAAAATAATCATTAATATCATAGAAAAATATATATTATTTCCTTTTTAGGTATCATTTGGAAAAGTAAATAACCGTTTTAAAAATAAAATAATAAACTGAAATTCTATTTTGGTATAAAGCCAAGTTAATTATTAAATATAAAAAAATACATCGGAGTATGAATAAAAATCAAATTTTTTTAAATTCTTAGAACCTGATTTACCTAGCAACCTTCCCAAACATGTTTTTCGAATAACGAAAATAATTTGAAAATGGATATCGAGACAACGAATCATACGTACCTAATACGAGGCGTAATAACATAGGCAAACATATATTGTATAATGATATTTACATAAATTTCTATGATGCAATACAAATTGACTGATAGTTAAACATTCATAATAGATATATGACCAATTTATTATTTATTTCATACTTAATAATTTCCAAAACTATTTAAAAGATTCGAGAGCACTCGATAAAAATATTGTAAAAATAATAGAAAATTAATATGATAATGATATAAAACAAAAATAAATCTCTCTTCGTTACACTTCAACATTAGAAACCGTCAATTCGAGATATGGGTCAGGTTTACTGAAAAACCCAGGTTTTTTCTTGATGTGAAATCCTTCAACTGGTTGAAAAACAAAATTTCTAACTAGGATACTTAATAATACCTTAATTTCGCTTAATGCTAA